ATGATATTGTCCAGTCCAGGTCTACAGCGAAGACCTGCGCCCGGGATCAACGTCGCGCCAGTCACACTCTGGTGACAGTGACACGTAATGTGACTGACGTGACGGGTCGTATTTACCGCAACGCGTCCAACTTGACCAGTTCAACAGACTTGCATGGCACCTATTTGACTCAAAGGATATCATCAGGTTGGATATCACAACCTGTACGTGGCATTTTCCTTACATCTTAATTGTTCCTCCTTACCTCGAGTGTATTCCCATTAGTCTATTCGTTTTGCGGTCCTTTCGCGGACCGATGTGCTAAGCCAACGATGGACATGCTCTCCCAGCCGAGCATCAACCATCTACCCATCGAACTACTCTCCTCCATACTTGTACTCTGGTCCGTGGTTGATGAAGATGCTCCGTGGATGGCGTCATGCGTTTGCCACGAGTGGCGGCGCATCGTCCTGGCGTGCCCGATGGCCTGGAGCAACGTCTCGTTGATACTCAAGGGGCCACACGAACCCACACTAGAAGATCGTGCATGGTGCATCGAGGAAGAAGACGTAGAAGCTGCACTTTCACCCCGTGACAAGCGGCGTCCGCTCGACCTGTGGTTCGCGCGCAGCTGCAACGCGGACCTGGCGCTCACCATTCTCGTGGAGCAGACGCATCCTCACATCGAGTTCCGCATCGAAGAGTGCATTCGAATTCTGGAATGCCACGTAAATCGACTACGCTTCTTCTCACTACAAGTCGAGTCCGTCTATCTCGCCGAGTCACTGTTCAGCATACTCCCGAGGATGGATCTGCATACACTTGAGCTATGCATTCAGGAGACGTCGCTGCCTCGCTCCTTTCGCGGCACACATCTAAGTGCAGAAGGATATAGTGTGCCTGCCCTATGGGACTCGGTATGCGGTGCCCGCCATATTGAGGTCCATGGCTGCACTCCGCCTCAACGCCGACCCGAAGAGGCGAGCAAGACACTCGCCCTACAAGTAACCGCGACTCTAGTGTCTCCTCGGCAACTTGCTTCCTTGCTGGCAGACCATCATAACCTGACTGTGCTCGATGTCAGCGACATAGAAACCATCTCTGGAGAAGATGCTCCGAACGGGACTGTCGTCTTGCCGTCCCTGACGCGGCTGACGGTAGAGCACAACTACATGCGCTTCCTCACGAACGTGTTCGGGTGGCTCAGGGCTCCGGCTCTGACACACTTAGCCATTGGGAACCTCGGGATCAGCGAGCTTGCATGGAAGATGTCGCTGCTGCAACACGCCGAGACATCGTTCGAAGCCACCGCAGAGTACGGCAAGGCCCTCGCACGGTTCGTCGGGCACTGTCCGTCTCTGGAATCCCTGCGCATCTCCCGCTCCGGCATACATGACCGCCATCTCGCCGACGTCCTCGGCGGCGCACCCTCGCTCGGCGAGCTACGAGTCGAACAGTGTCTTGTCGGCACGCCCCTTCTGCGGGCCTTGACGGTGCCCGTGCCAGCCTCGCCTTCCAGTGCAGACAGAGACAAGCCTGTGATCTGTCCGAACCTGCGGCGCCTCGACTTTTACAAGTGCGACTTGGTTCTCGGCGAGCATCTCGTCGCCCTCGTGCAAAGCCGCAACCGTGCAGGCTCGCAGACACAACGCATCACGGACGTCCACACGCTGCGTTGCCCGAACGTCTCGGTCAGGCATGTACACGAACTTATCCACGCACTGCAGCTACCCTTAGCCTTGAAGCACTAGCACTTTTGTAATGTAGATCCCATTGTAATCATGCAATAAATGTACATGATAGCTATATAGCAAGACTTGTGGTGGGTTTTGTGACGTTGGGACGCTGGCGCATGCTCGAACCCTGGAAGGCCTACCTGAAACAAAATGAGGTAAAATAGAGGAACCTGGGATGCGCGAGCACTCGAAAACAGAGTACGAGACGGCTATGGGACCGGTCAAAGCCTGTGCGAAGGTACATGACGACCCGCGAACGATGTGCGAGAAGATGCGAAATGATGTGCGAAAATGCGAAGATAGTGAAATAAAACGTGAAGTCGCAAACAGCCGTTTAACAGCGGACAAGTAGGGAGTATGCTGAACAGTGACTCGGCGAGATAGACAGATGGAGTCGCTTTACGTGGCATTCCAGAATCCGAATGCACTCTGCAATGCGGAACTCGATGTGAGGGTGCGTCTGTTCCACGAGAATGAGCCTCATGAGTGCCAGGTCTGCATTGCAGCTGCGCGCGAATGCCACTTGCCACGGGGTGAAAGTGCAGCTTCCACGTCTTCTTCCTCGATGCACCATACATGATCTTCAGGTGCGGGTTTGTGCAGGCTCGTGAGCATCAACGGGACACTAATATTGCTCCAGGCCATCGGGCACGCTGGGATGATGCGCGGCCACTCGTGGCAAATGCATGACCGTGACGCCCTCCACAGAGCACCCTCATAGACCATGGACCAGAATACATATGGAGGAGAGTATTCGATGGGTAGGCAATTGATGCTCGGATGGGAGAGCACTGGTGTGTATCGTCCACGTACAGTCAGACACTAGGAAATACAATACTGTAGCTACACGATGCAACAAATTGAATGACAGTCACCAACTTACCCATGTGGAGACAAGGATATTGCCCAGTTATTCATGGAGCTGCTATGTCGGTGAGCTGTTCTCGTGCTTGTGAGCAGGTGTTTGACTGGGTTTCAATGTGGCCACAGCCAAAGTGAATCAAACAACAAAGAAGAAGAGCATTCGAGTGTATGGCCTGCTTACCGACTTTCATTATTTTCGCTTTTTTTCATACGATCCTGTGCAAGGACGGTTTTACTTCGATGAAGAAATTACTGCAGCAGGTAAGCGCGAATAATTCCTGACGAAAATGATCCCTGGTAT